AAAAATATTTTAAATACATTACTATTCTTTTAACATGCAGTATCAGGTAATATGGGCATGTAGCCTCACTTTTTTTTCCAAGTCATAAATGATGAAAGGGTAAAACCCATACAAAAATTAGGAAAATATGCTTAGTGGCCAACACAAGCAACACATAGGAAGTGCTGCAGGCAATTGGGTTTAGAAGTATAAACATTACATTAGTAGACCCAGGAGATAGCATGATGTAGCCACACCTGGAGAGTCACTCTCCTATTCCCCTCCCAAGCCACTAATGAAAACAAGACTGAAGCCAAAACGCGAAGATTCAACTATACAACATCAGTTTTGGTCTCAGAGGCTCAGCAACATCAAAAAGGCATAAAATAAGATGGATTCACTTCAGCTAAAATATGTTTTCACTTGAAATAAGATCAAATTCTGTCTAGGCGACCTCAGGATTTTACTAGATGCTGTAAATCTGTTTAGCAGCTGTGGGTGGCACCACTTTCACAATAAACTACCCTACTGAAAAGTTCTATATATGCAGAGAAAGTTCTATGTAAAATAAGTGAAAGCTGAACAATGAAACAATCATTAATCATTCATAGCTGTTTCCTATACAAAATATGTGCTCCTATTATCTGAATATCACAGTAAAATAGTCACAAAACTGGCTGACCTTCATGGTGCCAAATACGTCATTAGTTAATTAGCTTTTAACAACTCTAAAGTGTTTCAGTTTCCCAAGAAAGCAAGCTAAAGAATATTCAATCAAAGATCTAAAACAAGGAAAATACAGAAAACGCATACTGCAGAAAATACAAATACCTGTACATCTATTGCTATAAGAATTGATGCGTCATTAGTGGCTGGTACGTTACTCCAAAGGGATTGGTTACGGGAATCTGTAACTCTGTTCATACAGCCAGAGGAAACTTACCTGGCCGCATCTACATTACAATCTCATTTACAGGAGCTATTCTTTTTAACATAATGAAGGCATGTATTGAGGTGTTCAGTCTGTCAACCCAGAGACTTCTCAAAGAACTCCTAGCAAGCGCACAGCCCATTTGAGAACTGTTCGGTAAACTGCAGGTTTGATCTTAACAGTACAATAACTCACTGGACAGCACAGTGGATGCTGGCCAGCACCCTGTAGTTAGTGATACATACAATCAAGCATGGGATTTGGGTTCAACTGCAGGATCTAGGTTTTCACTCAAAAGACTGGCAAGGGCAGAAACAAATGTTTACGGCCAGGGCTAACAGGGCTTAGCCACCCCAAACTGGGCCGATGACAGTGGTTCCAGTGCCACCACTGCCACAGTGCTGTGCCTAGCACCCCCGTCACATACTCCTCCGCTGCCATGCACACGGCACCAGCACGGCCCTGAGGGAGGGAGGAGTGGGATGAGGCGGGTGCACTCCACACTGCCCAGCCCCCCAAAATAATATTTTCTAGTGCTGCTTATGGGGAAAAGAGAGCCTCTCCACCAAAAGGGCCTCCACACAGCTTCCTGGCTAGAGTCTCAGTGGGGGCTGGGCAGTTTCTGGGGGGGCTGAGCAGCAAGGGGGCTCCCTTCCCCTCTGCCCCCAGTTGCAAGCATGATGAAAAGCTGAACCAGGCAGCCCCATGCTGCAGCTCCTGGCTACAGCTATCAAGAGGCTGAGGAGGAGAATCAAGGGCACCCTCCTGCTGTGTGGACCTGGCTGAGTCGCCACCGAGACCCACAAACTTGGGTGGGGGAGGGGATCCACATGGCAGAGAGGCCATTTCCCTACCACCCTGTCTGGCTTCACAGGGAGGAGACAGAGACAAGCAACTGCTGAGGCTAGCAAGCTGCCCAGCAAGGAGCCCCTGGGATGGTGGCAGAATACGACCTACACTGAAGCATGATGGATGTGTGTTCAAAAAAGCGTTCTAATCTACAGCTCTTTAGTCAAATACTACATGCATCAAGGGTTAACTTAGAGTGGGATCCACCATTTTTAAAGTGCTTTAAGTGCTGTGAATATTTGTTCTGTTATAGCTTTGAAGCACACTAAGTGTACTGTCTGTACCTAGGCCAGATGTCCATTTCTCCCTGTATTAATTATTTGCCTTTTCCAAGGCCATGAAATAGACAGTGTTGTTCTTCGTTGCAGATACCATGGGTCCCTACTCTACTCCCCCCCTTATTTCCATGTGCCCAGCAGTTTGCAATGGTTCTCCCAAAAGAAGCAATGTGCACTCTCTGTCCCCGCAGTTCTACTCCCTAATTATTCATGTGGGATACTGAGCACTTTCGAAGGCAACAGAGATTGTATGAACAAGAAAGAAGATTATGCTGTACCATTTAATAGGCTACAGCATTTTGTACATCCCAGTGCTCCCCAAGATAGTTCAACATCCCACACCACCTAATGCAGGAGGCTATGCCAAAGTAACACCAGAGAGCTCTTCCTGGCTTCATTGTCTAAGGTGGGTAAAGCAAACATTAAAGTTATTTTTAACAGTTCCTTTATGCACATAAGAGCTGGTCTAGTGTTTTCCTTTTTGTGATCACAAAATCTTTTTTTCTAACTCAGAAAAAACGAATCAGTTAAACCAGTCTGGACACATTTCACAGCAGACTTGAAGTGAAAACAGTAAAAACATGGTTTGTAAATAAAGTTGTTAGAGAGAAATTACAGAGCAAAGTATTGTGGTTACTGACAAAAACAGTGAGGCAAGAAATATCTAACAATGTCAGGCTAGGAACTTCAACATATAGTCTACTACAGATCTATTTAGAAATCAACAAATAAACAGAATAATATGGCATAAGCATAAAAAAAGAGTAAGTGTAGTCAGTATTTTCCCCACAGACATTTTCTGAAAGGGCTTCATGACTGAAAAGTCACTGGCAGTTGTATTTATTTATTTATTTTTAATTTAGTAGATACATATCGGAGAACCCTTTTATTCATTTGGTTCCTGCCTGTTCTCAGCAGGCAGTCTTACTATTGTTACCAAGGGGATAAGCTTCAAAACACACATGGACATTTGACATGGGAACTGTTCAACAGTACATAAATACTAGCTTCTAAACTACCACTTTGTGAAAACTAAAGAGAGAACCTCCAAGGAGTTGGGTCTGATTCTGTGTTTGCTGGGCAAAGGCAGAAAGGACCAACACTTGAAGACTAAGCTGAAAGCACCAAACCCTAGTCATGTCTACACCATGTGCAATAATTCAAGGGAGTACTATCCATCCTTGCTGGACTATGACACAGCCACTTCCTGGTTCACACCCATGGCTACTTTAGCAGCAACAGAAGATAACATTTTTTCAGCATGAATTGTGCACAGAGCAGAAGTGAGCAAGCCAGCCATGTTTTCCTGGCAGCATTCCTTAACACAGTCCAAAATGGTGTAGACATGGCCCACAGCCCTACCAAGAAAAGAAGCCTCACCTCTCCTCACACTGGCAATTCATCATCTCCACCTATCAAGCTATGGTTTTAAGGATGTCAGATATTAATCTGGCCTTCTAAAAAGATATCACAGCTACACTGGCCCAAAAATCAGGTCACAGAACAAAATTAGACATTGAGAGCCATGATGCATTTCATAATTCCCCTTCTTGTTTAAAGAGTGAAATAATCTGTTACCTGACTATATCAGCAACTGATTATTTAGTTCTCCATGCTGGTCAGTACAGAGTACAATCAAAGTTCTGCTCTATCTTCCTCATTCATGCTTTTCATCCATCCCTAAAGGTTTGGGAGCAGTGATCTTGAGAGGGCTATAATATGTACAATTCACTGAGGGAATAATGGGGTGCTTTACATTACTTTACTCTTCCCTGGGTGCAAAAGGCAAGTTGTGATTTTGCTCTGTGTGCATCATATATTGCAAAGCCTTACTGTGCTTGCTGTAAAGTCTTATTTTTTTTGTTGAAAAAAAACATATGGTACTAGTTATCATTGTGAATACAAATACAAATAAAGACTTCTAGAAACCACCATTTGATTTATTCCTGACCACTGTAAAACCGGTAACAGAATATCCTGTCAAACCACTGTTACGGAATTTGAATAAAAATGTCTACCCTGCATTCTGGCTTAGAACAAAAAAGTTACTATCTAGGATACTTATCAAAACAAAACACAACACGGAAGAGCAACTATGCTAAAGAAAAGAAAGAATTCAGTTGAAGTTTTCATGAATTGCATACAACTGTTACTAATGTCAACTTCCCTAACACAGGTTTTATAATTAATTAAATTAGATCAGTGTCATACTATATAAGAGTGAACAGAAGCCACCAAGGAGCTGCGATTTACCAAGCAGGGCTGCAGTTTAAAATCTCAGGCCAAAGACCAATAAAAGCCAGGAGCAGCATGGAAATAAAACTCACTGTCTTCCAGAAAGCCAAAGAAATGAATTAGTCTTTTGGCACTAGTTATGCTCAAATGCATGGCCAAAGTTAAAGTATGTTATCAACAGCTGCTATCTGAAAGAATGGGAAAGCAACCAAATTCCTACTGCATCCTAGCAATAGACTCCACACTTAAAAATTAAGGTGCTGATTCTACAAACATTTACAGAATTGGACTCCAAACTATTAAGTCCCTTCATTAACATAATAAATTACTCATGAATCTACAATTTTTTTAAAGATTTATTTTGCAGCGGAATATTCATATTATCCCAAAGTGCTGAGATAGCTTCAAACAGGCACATGGGAAATTTGTGATGCTCAATTTGTGGTTAGTTACTAATGTAGCAACATTCTGCATTAATGAAACTCCTGATGTGCATTAATTACAATTCTGGCTTGTAACACGTTTTTGTGCCTATTAGTTTGTTAATATGTAGGACAAAAATAATCATGTATGACTTATATGGATAAGGGAATGCAAGCTGAAACTCATTTGAATTTAGAAAAAACAGACTATATTAAAAAATCATGCAGTTTCTCACCAGTGCCCCTCTTGTGCATGGAAAGACGTCATTAACAACAGCATATTTGAACTCCTCAAAATGAACTTACCTTGGAGTCCCTAGAAATTGCTGTGATCTCCGTTGTTCAGCCACATACAAAGATGCTGCTGTTGCTAGTAGCTCCCTTTTTTCAAGATCTGTCAATTTGTGTCCTAGTTTAAAAAAACAGGTTTTAAAACTGGTTAAACACCATGGGCCAATTTACTCCCTCCACACAAAACACACATGTGCAAAATAAACCATAAAGCACTATAGTCAAATTCTAAATATTTTTTATCCTAAATTAAAAAACAGCATGGCAGACTCTCACAGTTTCAGGGTTTAAATAGTATGTTTTCATACAGATCAGCCCTAGTGTTAACACTGGTATCTCTGTTAAAACAATCTGACAAGTGAAAGAAAAAAAAATGATGCCACAGCATCTTGTTTTCATTAATAAAATGTCACTGGTTGACATATTGTGGCTCATGCTGGTAAAGAATCCATCTGTACATTAGAACTTACTCAAAATATTCTGCATTCTTTTCAATACTTTACCTTCTCAAGACTACATTTTCTCTACTTTGTGAGTGATAAATACACCAGTCTATCCTGC